TGTGTGTGTGTGTGTGTGTGTGTCCTCAGGTGTGATTGACAGGTGTGTGTGTGTGTGTGTCCTCAGGTGTGATTGACAGGTGTGTGTGTGTGTGTGTGTGTCCTCAGGTGTGATTGACAGGTGTGTGTGTCCTCAGGTATGGTGGAGATGATTCCTCACGCTGATACTCTGAGGAAGATCCAGGTGGAACACGGTGTCACGGGATCGTTCAAAGACCGCACTCTGGCCGACTGGCTGCAGAAACACAACCCCACTGACGAGCAGTACGATAAGGTAACGTACGCGCACACTTTTACACACCTGTACACACCTCTCGGTGTGAGACACTCCTCCATCTGCTCTTTCAGGCCGTGGAGAACTTCATCTACTCATGCGCCGGTTGCTGCGTGGCCACCTATATCCTGGGAATCTGCGACCGCCACAACGACAACATCATGCTGAAGACGAGCGGGCACATGTTCCACATCGACTTCGGGAAGTTCCTGGGACACGCCCAGATGTTCGGGAACATCAAACGGTAAGAGAGAAGCAGATGTTCACCTGTCCTGTCCTCGGTTCACCTTTATAGCTGACTACCTGCTGTACCCCGTGCAGGGACCGCGCCCCCTTCGTCTTCACCTCTGACATGGCTTATGTCATCAATGGCGGCGACAAGCCGTCCAGCCGCTTCCACGACTTTGTGGATCTGTGCTGCGAAGCATACAACCTGATCCGGAAACACACTCACCTGTTCCTCAACCTGCTGGGCCTGGTGTGTCTAACTCGCACAAACACGCACAAACACACACTCACATAATGGAGTAAATACAACATCTGCTAAAGGAACCAACCAGGAAGTTAAACGTGTCTGTCTGTCTGTCTGTGTGTGTGTCTGTGTGTGTGTGTGTGTGTGTGTCCAGATGTTGTCCTGTGGGATCCCGGAGCTCTCCGACCTCGATGACCTGAAGTATGTCTATGATGCACTGAGACCTCACGAGTCTGAGGCTGACGCCACCATGTACTTCACCAGGTAGGCGCGGGCTCACCTGCACAGATGCCTCCGACCTTCAGGGCAGAGACACGAGTCATCACGACCTGCGCTGCAGACGGTCTCTGGCAGCGTCCAGGCTACACCTGCCGCCTTTGTTAACGACCCTTCTGACCCCGGCAGGTTGATCGAGTCCAGTCTGGGCAGCGTTGCCACCAAACTGAACTTCTTCATCCACAATCTGGCCCAGATGAAGTTCACCTCGTCGGAGGAGCGCCCCACGCTGTCGTTCGCCCCCAGGTTCCACTCGGCAAAGAGCGACGGCATCATCAAGAACCTGTACATCTGCAGACACATCCGGACCGGCGGAAAGGGATATGTGAGTCCAGACGTGCCAGTGGGAAGCACACGGGAAGCACATGGGAAGCAGAAACTAACCAGCTGTGTGTGTCTGTGTGTGTCAGGCTTTTGTGGTGAAGGTGGAGCGTGAAGGTCAGCAGGAGGTGCAGCTGGTTCAGAGGACGTTTGAAGAGTTTCAGGAACTCCACAGCAAACTGAGGCTCATCTTCCCCTCATCCAAACTGCCCAGGTACACAGACACACACACACTGACATGCACACATGTGTGCCCACAGACACACACTCCTAGGTGCACAAAGGCGCTTTGCAGAAGGTCCTTCCTCCTGTCCTCTTATCCCCTCCCACAGTTTCCCCAGTCGCTTTGTGATTGGCCGTTCCCGCAGCGAGGCGATGGCTGACAGGAGGAAGGACGAGCTGAACGGTTACGTGTGGCACTTGATCCACGCCGCTCCGGAGGTCGCTCAGGTCAGTGGCTTTCTGGGTCGGTTCTCACATGAGTGGTAGCTCAGGGGTGGCTGTAGCTCAGGTGGCAGAGCAGGTCGGCCGCTAACCAGAAGGTCGGTGGTTCGATGCCCGTCTGCTCCAGTCTGCATGCCAAATATCCTTGGGCAAGATACTAACCCCATGTGTGTGAATGTTAGTTCGAGCACCTAAGAGCTTGGAAGAAGTGCTTGAATAAGTTGCACTCTGAGTGCTCTGACAGAGTAGAACATATAAGAAACAGTCCATGTACATGATGGTAAGCCGTGACATTAATATTATACAATATACAATAATATTCAGATTGTTAGGCCACCCTCCACACATAAATTCAAAGATTGTTGTTCAAAGAAATCGGTCCTTCTTTAAAAAGGCGCCGTCATCCTGACTCTGTGTGGACAGATTTGTATTAAAAGACCAACTGAAAGATTTTGAGAACATCTTGCAGCCTTCAGTCTCTCACCTCGCAAAAAACAACTAAATCAGTCAGTAGCAATGCACTCCTGGGGAGGGAGGGGTGTGTACTCAGGTACATATGTAACCTTATTATGTCCTGTGTCATCCTTTTTTATCCTTCCTTTCAGTCTTTACTGGCTTGTATTTATTTATAGAAGCATGTAAATGCCTGAATGAAACGTTGAAAGGAACGAGACGTAAACAGTTTTCAAAGAGCTAAAATCTGCAGTAGTGAAAACGGCCAGTGGTACCCTCGAGCCCAGACAGGTGAAGGAAGGTGTGCTTGAACCTCTCAGCTGCAGACAAACACAAAGTACAACATGGCCGAACATGAGAGTGCCGCCATCACCTCACCAGCTCGCTTTTAGTCTGAGTCGCTTCTCAGGACGAAACCCACACACACACACTGAGTGGGTGTGGCGCTGCTGTTCTATCAGCTCGCTGCAGTCCTCGGGGCTCCGCCCTCTTCAAGGTTATCTCTCCCTGACTGTGGAAGCTCTGCCTGCAAGCAGACAGGTTCAGAGGCAGGTGTGTGATCGTGTCGCTGTGATGAAGGTTCTCCGCCCTGCAGAGAGATGCATTTCCTGTTTCTTACATAAGATAAGGATGATGAGCTGACCCCTCACTTCCTGGAAGTTCCAGGAAGTTCTTAGAAGTGCTCTGTCCTGAGCTGAACGTCCACAGCACCGATGCAGGAATGTTCTCTGAGCTGTGTCAGGTCCACTCGTCTTTATTCTGATTACACTGACCTTTGTCCCATTTACCTCAGTGAGCTAATCACAGGCTGATCACCCCGTGTGTGTGTGTCTGCACAGTGTGACCTGGTGTACACCTTCTTCCACCCGCTGCCCAGAGACGAGCGATCAGGAACGACGGCGAGCAAACCAGCAGGTACGTGATTTTGGACCCACACGCTGTTTAATGTGTAAAGCTCAAGAACTGGAAATAAACTGGGAAGACTTTTTGTTTGCTCAGTGGGACAGTGTACGGATTTTAGGAAGCCACAGTGGGCGGGTCCTCACGCTGATTAGACGGGGGCGTTACCCAATGAGGAGTACTCATATCAAATATAAGCTTATCTGAGGTCAGACTGCACCAAAGAGGTTTCGCTCTGTTAAACTTTAACTCACACAAACACAAAGGTCAAAGGTCAGTGCTCTGTGACTCAGCATGTAACAGCAGATCTGTGGCATGTTTTCATACAGAATCACTGCTGATTGGTTAAAGGTTACAGCCAGTAAAAAGATTGTTCTCATAATTATACATCATCACAGCGTGATGCCTTCTCCTTCAGATCAACATATGAAGCATCGTAGCGGTTTTATTATCAGAGGTCGCCTTCACCAACTGGAAGGAAGAGCGCTATCGCATCTTAAAACCCCATCCTCGTTACCTCGACCCTCATCTCCTGAGCTCAAGTCGGGGCTTGAACACACCAAAGCACAACCATGCTCATTTGTTACTCACGTTGTCTTAATTATTTATTGTCCACAGGTTAGACATGTGACCCTTGACAGCGTGTTCATTGATCCACCTTGAGGAGTTTGAGCATCTATGTGGGGAGAAGCTGCTTGTTTTGCAGGCACTGAGCTAAGAGGTGGCCGTGACTGATGTCAGGTTATCGTGTCTACTGCTGCCCCGCACGTTCTTTGTACTGATATATCTGAAGGTTTCAGTCAGTAAGAAACTAAAGATTCTGTTAATCTCACGTAAAATTCAAACCCAACACCCTCCCATCTCCATGACGACAAACCAGCAGCAGGTTATTCAATTCAATTTTATTTACACAGCACCAAATCACAACAGCAGGCGCCTCAAGACACTTTATATTGTACAGTAGATCCTACATACAGAGAAAAACCCAACAATCATATGACCCCCTATGAGCAAGCACTTTGGCGACAGCAGGAAGGAAAAACTCCCTTTTAACAGGAAGAAAGAT